GTGCATCTGTACCTGGATCACCCCTGACCAATACTCATTCAGCCCCTTCTTGAACCTCTCCAGTGATGGAGATACCACAACTTCCCTGAGCATCTATTCCACTGCTTCCCTGTCCTAGCAGTGAGAAAACTTTTCCCTGAGACCCAGTTTAAATCTACTTTGCTTCAACTTCAAGCCATTGATCCACATTCTGCTCTCTGCAGCAAGAGAGAAAAACTGTTTTCCCTCTTTGTAGCAGCCCTTCAGATGTTTGACTGTCACATCCCCTCTTGCCTTTTCTGCAAGCTGAACATGCCTCTCCTCCTGTGCTAGCCTGCCAAGCCCATTATCTTCTCTCCTACCTCTGGACCCTCTCGAACCTCTTTTCCAAATGTGGAGCTGCAAATTTCACACAATACTCTAGGGTCTGGGACACACATTGCAGAAACCAGTATGACCCAAATCAGTTAAGTCTGATGCTACATTCAACCAGGTTTATCTTAAACCAGCTTCAGCCATTTTGAAACTGGCTTATGTGCACTGAACTTCTGGTCTGTCCCAGGTTTAAACCAGTTTCTGATCACTTAAACCATGAAAAATGTCTGTACCTAGCCTAGGCGTCTCCTGCATGGCTCAGACCCCAGGCTTGCACCAAAGGTCTCAAACTCAAGGTCATTCGAGAAACAAGAATCCAAGAAGCAAATGCAGTGAGCACAGGGGGCCCCGAGACTTTGCTCCACTGCTTTTTACATGCTAAGGTGCAAAGGGTACCTCTCTCCCTGCCCCAACTGAAAGTTAAGGACAAGCCAGGGAGCAGGACACAAGTCAGGAGAAGTCAGGGCGTCATGGTAGTTTCATACTAGTGATTTGCCTAGATTCGCAATTATGAGTCAGTGCATACATTCATTTGGCTGAATCCACCAGAGAGGCTGGCTGCAGACCCTAGAAATGCCCCACGCTGGCTGAAACGGTGACCGGCTGTCCCAGGAGCCAGGTCCTCACCTGCTTCTCCTCTTTGGGCAGGGCCTTCCGGGCCTCGTTCTTGTCCACAAAGTACTTGTGTATTTCTTTGAAGTTGCACTTGTCCAGGCTCTGGATGATCTCCTGCTCCTTCTCTGTCATTTCCTGCACAAAAGCCAGACAGGTCTCGGTGAACCAACAGGCAAAGTTGACTTAGCACCGAGCTCGGAGGCCCGAGAAGAGAAGAGAAGAGAAGAGAAGAGAAGAGAAGAGAAGAGAAGAGAAGAGAAGAGAAGAGAAGAGAAGGCCCTAAGCATTTTGGAGGAGTTGCATGAGAGCATCAGTCAGCACCATCCCATCCATACCGAAAGCATTGGCTTGTGAGAAACTGCATCTGGGAAATTTATTATTTTCCCAGGAGAGGATTGGACTAGATGATGTCTGGAGGCCCCTCCTAGCCCTACTTCTCCAGGATTTCTATGAAATCAAGCAGCTGCTTCTGAAAAATGCAAGCCTGTGAACACGGGCAGCAGTGAAATGCAGCCACCTCTTGGGTGGAGCAGTGTGAAGGGAAAAAGGAAGAAGCCCGAGATTGCACACCCCCAAGCCTGACTGGCTACAAGGGGATGGGGGTGAAGGGCACTGAACAGAAGTTAGTGTGTGCAGGATCCCCAGGGGTGCCCATGCAGGGAAGACGTGGATTTGCTGTGTGCTAGCTGCTCCAGAAGCTTAATGCACATGAGCTGCAAAGCATTTCTCCTTGCCTAAAAATTAGATGAGGCCCTACTGCATTCAGGCCTCATGGATATGGGACAGCAAGTATGCAGTGAGCTGGGGCAGCACATCACCTCCTCCACAAACCCTCTCCCTTTGGACACTCACAGGCACCACGTACCAGGAACTTACTGAGCTTGGCAAATGGAGTTGGCTACCTCTGTCCCTTCAGGTGGCTATATAGGCAGATCTAGACTTTTCAAAAGGGGGGTGCAGGTGCACCATCACATATAGACACCATGCATTTTTCTCCAATTAAAAGTAAACTAGAAGCCTGACTACTATGCTAGGGGCCTAGGGAGGCGGGATGCAGTTTAAGATCGAAGCAACAACAAATATAAAGTCATTGGAATGAGTTAAAAAACCCATCTGTGAACTGGGAGCAGAAGCAACAGACAGTAGAACGGCAAAAAGAAAAAAGTCAGCTTGACTGGCAGAACATCAAGACTACTGAAAAGAAGAGTCATTAACACCGGTGAGATGAGTTTAGAAGGGATTAGGTACATTATAATGAGCCATCAAGTTGAGGGAGTCCCTCAGTGGCTAGAGATGCTGCTGCTACAGCCAGGTAGCTGGTTTTAAACTCTGGCTGGAGCAGGAATCAAAAGGGAGGTGTGACTGCACCAAATACACCCCCCTGGATCTGCCCCTGGGTGGATACACAACACAGTTACTCCAGGGCAAACAGACTTTACTCTGCAGACAAAGCAGAGCAGCCAAGCGATGCACAGCTTTACCCGGGTATAAGTTGCTCCCATGCAGAGGAAAGCCCCCTTTGGCTCTACCCTGGGGTAAGTTCATAGACAATGAGGGTTGAAGGGGTCTCAGGAGGTCACATCTAGTGCAACCCCTGCTCCAAGCAGGACCAGCTCCAACTACATCATCCCAGTGTACCAGGCCTGTGCCCAGAGCTTGCTGCAATGGCACCCACTGCATGCCCTGACCCCGGAGTTATCACATCATATGTCCATGTTGCACATGCATGCTCTGCATGTCCAGCCTCAACTTCCCTGCAGGGACAAGCCCCTGTTCTGCAACAGAGAAAGGTGCTGCCTGATGCAACTCTCCCTTGCTGGCATGGCTCTGCCTCTGCTCCCTCTCTCCAGCCATCCCCATCTTCTAGTAAGAATTAAAACACCCTAAGAAGCCCACCCCAAACTTCAGCATGAAGCAGCCGCAGATACGATGAACCCCACTGCACCCAACACCATAACGGCACAGATTGGGAAATCAGCCATCAGGCGACTGACCCCTGCTCCTCTTCCTGCTATAGACCTGGGCCTTGCCATTCCCCAAGCCGCTACCCTAGTGACATCATAGGATGACCTCACAGCTCCTAACAAAGGCTTTTTATTCTTGAATTGCAAGACTGAAGAAGCAGTACCTCTTTCCAATCCCTGAAGAAGTTGTTCTGGAAAATCTCTTTAGTGGTGTACTCGTGATCCAGCATTTTAGCATAGAAGGTGGCTATTTCTTCTGTGGCCAAACTCAGCTTCATAGGCTGGCCTGCAAGGAAGCACCTGCTTTTTTAGCAACCACACAATCCCACTTTAACCCGTGTCTCGTTGCGTCTGCATCGAGCCCCTTGTAGCAGCAGGATCCCCCTGTAGCCATCCGCTGCAGCCCTGTGTTTAAGCATGCCCTCTGCGGCCACTTTGCAAATGCTCATCTTTGCGGCGTGGTCAGAATGGCTGGGTTTCGCCCAGCATACCCATCAACCTGCCCTCTAGCACCTAAGCTACCCTGATGCATGGGGCAGATTTGGCTTCATTAGCAGCTACAATGGGCCGGAAATGCTGGTATGGTTTCAGCCCTCTCCTTTGGGCGTATGATGCCGTCTGCTCTACACCGAGCTCTCGGAGGTAAACGGGGGCAGAATCGCTTGTCTGGCCCGTTTCCCCTGCCACGTAGGGACCCAGACATGCTTGGTTTTCCTGCCTAGATGGTAGGGACTGACTTACCATTGTAGTAAAACTTGACGTCATCCGGGAGCGGCTCATACAAAGGGGCGAAGTAGGGTCCTTTGTGCTCCAGCTGCTTCCATTTCACTTTGTCCTCGGTCTTCTCCTCTTCCCACCTTGGAGACAGGGAGATGCGGATGGATTAGGGGCACCTTGGCACTAGACAGTTTTGGACCCTTGGCTCTTAAGGCTCAGCAGGGGCTGCCCCAGCCCAGAACAGTGTTGGGAAGACACCTACAGGCACCAAGGGAGAAACAGACCTTGGGGCAGCGTTTAGCACCGTGCAGTTGGCTCCAAGGGCAGCAGGAAAGAAGAATCAGGACTGGAGACAGTGCTAAGAGCCAGGGCATTGGCCTGGGGCTCAGGCATCCTGAAGTCAGTGCCCAGCTCTGCCACTGACTTCCTGCACAACCTTGGGCTAGTCACTTGATCTTCTACAACTGCTGCAAAGGGAGGCATGCCGCATGGACACTGCCAGGGGCTGCAATACTCCTTGCTGTCCCCCACCCCTCCAGCCCTCGCTTTGGCGTGGGCTACACCTGCCCGTAGCCCTGGGGCAGCCTGAATGCTGCAGAGCTGCCCACAGCCAGGGCACGGGAGGAGCCACCCCAGGGTGGGTCAAAGCAGCTGACCAACACACTTATACATGCCATGGCTCCGGCTTTTAGTCTGGTGGATCGGAGGGCAGCTCTGCACCAACACATCCTGCCAGCACCCCGGCTCCCATGACTTTTCACGTGGAAGTGTTTAGAGCCACTTCCCCTGCCCTCCCCCTCATTTTTTTCCTCGTTATATCTCATTTATTTATGCATATAGCCTTTTTTTTTTTTGCCAAAAATATAATGCAGCCCCTGCCTTGTTCCTCTCTGTTGGGAAAGAAAAATGACATTTTTCACCTATTGTTTTGCAAAGGAAAAGAAACGCAATTGCTGACTGCCCCGAGTCCAGCCCCACCAGAGCAGCAAACCATTCTGGGACATGTAGTTGCTGATGTGCATGTTTGAGTTAATGCCACAGGCTTAAGGAGTCACCGTGCAACAAAAGCCCCATCCGTCCACTGCAGCCTCCTCCGCAGGGGGGAGCACACCATCAGTGCCAGCCCGCAAGGGGATGGAAGGGATGATTTAGATGCCAGGGATGAGGACTTGCAAAAAATAAATAAATAAATAAATAAATAAAAGGAAAGATTTTGGTGCTCGTCTCCCTCTTCCCTCCTTTCTGCTACATGCGTCAGGGGGTTTAAGCCTCCTCCAGAGGCGCTGGCTGCAGCCCAGGCTGGGGCTGGGCCAATGCTCCTGCTGGCACCAACCCCGCAGGGTCCGGGCTGGAGGGTCTCGCCCTTCTGTCCAGGGTCAGACTAATCCCTATATTTGGGGTCAGGAGGGAATTTTGCCCCTGGTCAGATTGATATGGACTGTGGGGGTTTTGCCCTCCTCTGTAGTGGGGGCACGGCCTCTACCCGGGATCTCTTGAGGGTATATTAACTACTGTTTAGAGAAGCAGGACACTGGCTGCTGTGATCCCCCTGCTTTGCCTGGGGCAGGTTTGGGGGTGAGGCCTTGTGTTGCATCAGGGTTGGCAGCAGCTTTACAAAGAGGCTGGACTACGGATTTGCGTGGGGTGGTTTGGACGGGCCTGACCCTGCCTCAGGCCGGGGCTGGATTAGATGTGAGCTCTGAAGCTCCTTCCCAGCCCCGCTGCTCTGCTCTTGGACTATGATTTTAAGAAAATTGTGCTCCATGAACCACGAGTTCAGAGAAGGCAGAGAGGTCCTAGGCTGCTGGCAAAGGGATGACACAGACCCGATTGATTAGCAGCAGCAATCTGATCAACTTTTAGTGATGAGCCTCCACTTAAAATGCATCAGCTGTCAGAGGAAGGGTGTTTGTACCCAAAAGCTTGCAAAGAACAATTTTTCTAACTATTTAAAACAAAAGCCATCACATTTACCCAAAGGACCTCCTCGTCTAACCTCTTTATATGCTGGTTTCTAATTGCATAGGGATGAGACTCTAGAGTCACCTACTGACCACAGGGAGAATAGCAAGGACCTCTAATGCAAGTGGTAGGATTGCTCTCCTTGCACCAGCTGCCCTTTTTTATTTTTAAAGCAACTTAAAAGCAGCGAGACAAACCCGGCAGCACTACAAAAAGAGATGCTGGCCAGGAACGAAAAGGATGCACCCTCACCTCGTTGCACAAGGGCGGGGGTAACACACCTGGTACAGTGTGCACAGCCCCACTGACCTTGTTGGCAGCGGGTGTTGCACCCTCGAGCTCGAGGCAGCCTCGGATCAGACCATGCACCCCTGGGTCAGACAACAGGGAAATTCTGCTGAAGACTGAAACTCAACTTAAGTCAATATTTTAGGGAGGGGAGAAAAAAGATGCGCTCTGCCCAGGACATTCAACAGCACCCAGCCCTGAGGTCAGAGCACTGCGGCAACACATGGACACTCACCACTTCCATTTACTCTCTTCTTCCTTTTTCTTTTTCTCCTTCTCATTTTCCTCCGTCTTTGCCTTCTTGCTTTTCTTCTTGTCTCCCTCTTCTGTGGTTTTCCTTTTCTGAGCCGGACCTTCCTTCTCCGGCTTTTCTGATGCCTTCTTGCCCTTCTCTTTGGGCACGTTTTCTTCCTTGGCTTTCCTCCGCTTGGCTGGTTTTGCCCCCTTGGCTTTAGTCTTTGCGTCTGTCTCGTCCTCCAGGCCATTTTCCACCTTCACTTTCTCATCGGACTCGACGCTCTCGCTCTTCCCTAACCCATCGCCCTCACGCTGCTCCTCTACTCCTCCGTCTCCCCCCGTCTCCGGCTCTCCTCCCTCTTCTTCCTTCATTCCCTTCCCACCTCCCCTCCGTTCCCCTTCCTCTGTCTTCTCCACTTCTGGCTCTTCCTTCAGGCTTTCAAACCTTGGTGGTTTCTCGTGTCCCACTTTTCCCCCTTCCCTTTTCTTCTTCTTGGTCTTTTCTCCTTTCCTTTCCTGCCCTTTCTCCTTCTGGCTCTTTGCTGCCTTCTCTGCCCGGCCATGCTTCTTCCCTCCCTCCATCTCTTCCCCTTCCCCTCCCGGGCTTGCTCGGGGGCCCTCCAGCATTGCTCCCTCTGCCCACCTAACCCCGTTCTCTGCTCTCCCTGGCTGCAGTTCATCCTCATCTTTCTGTGCATGGTCCTCCTCTTTCACCCTCCTTCCTTTTTCCTCTTTCCTATCATGGTCACATCCCCCTTTCCTGTCCTTTTCCACCTTGCCATCCTCTGCCAACCCCGCTTTGACACCCACTCTCGCTCTCTTGGCTTTGCTTTGCCATGGGGCATCGCCCTTCCCGTGGCTCCTTCCTTTCCCGGGAGCACCCTCCTTCTTCGGCTTCTCTTTCTGACCCAGCTCCCCTCTGCCATCCTTCAGGTCCCTTTTCCCTTTCTTTTTTTCTCTCTCCTTTCCTCCATCCTCCTCCCTTCTCCTTTTCAGGCCTTGGACATGTATACCTCCCATCTGCTCCAGCACAAGCAAACCACCTTTCCCCTCCTTGTCCTTGCCTTCTTCCAGGATATCACCAATTTCAGCTCTAGCACCCATGTCTGTGGACAAATCTCCATGGTTTGCAAAGAAGTCTTCGTTCTCCCGAGAGACCCCACTGGACTTAATTTCCTCTTGCCTTGGAGCCTGGCAGGAATGAGAGAGAGAGAGAAACCATCTAGTTAGCATCAAGGTTGGAAACTTTACAAACAAGACCCAGATTTCACTGCTCATCTACGTGGGCAAAGATCCAATCCCGGGAGCAGAAGACAAGTCTCTTTTGAGCCTCCTCACAGATGCCCAGCCACGACGCTGGTGAATCGGGCAGGTTTTACCGAGGGAAATGAGATGGTGAGGAGCATGGACTCACTTCTCATAGGCACCACGGCAGGAGAAGAGCATGGGGGGCATTTCAGGGGCACCTGTGGCACACAAAGGGTATTTGCAGGACATAAGGGAGGCCGACGGATGGGTGAGAAAGCCAACGGGGGAAGCAGGAAGGGATGGAAGGGAACAGGCGCCAAGGAGAAGATGTTCAAACGCAACGTCAGGGACCCAGGACGCCCGTGGAGAGAGTGTGAAGGGGACGGTACGAAGTCACGGCTCAGGGGCACTGGGTCACACCCTGAGCAGGGGGAGGTTGTGGAGGCTTGTGTGGCTGGGCCAAAATGATGCTCATTTACACCAGCTTGGCCAACCGCTTCCAACCCAAAGCAGCCTAGGGAGGTTACAGCGCTCAGAGAAAGCATTCATCAAACTAAAGAGGAACAGCAAAGTCCTCCCAGCTGTCACAGGCACATCATCCAAAGCATTTGCAGACACCACAGCATCTCCAGCCCGCAGGACACCCCCCACAAGGCTCTGACCTCGGCTCCTGGGAGCTTCCCCTCGGTTTCCGTTTTTGTCATCTCCGGTGCATGCTCTGACCTGCAATGGAGCAGCAGCTAATTACTAACGGGTGCAAAAACCTTCCCACCCTACCCCATTCACACCAAATCGCCAGCAAAACCACGCTTCGGTGTGTAGACAGCCCCCAAAGTGACATGAGAAAAACTCATGGGGAGAAGGAGAGACCACAGGTCTCAGGCAGGGACAGGTGTGGATCTGGATCCCTAGAGAGTGCCCGATGCTGGGCTCAAGAACAGCAGGGAGGAAGGAGCTGTGTGTTGGTGTTAAAAGCAAGGAGAAGCTCAGGACTTGGAGAATCCAGCTGCATCTGTAGTTCCAGAAAAAGCTCGGTAGGAAGAGACAACACTGCCAATGCAAGCTAAATCAGCAGCTCCCAATGCAACCACGGCTGCTGGGTGCAAACCTTTCAGTGCTCTCCCCGCCAGGCTGCCGCTCGTCCCCATCCTCCACCCTCAGTAGGGGCACGTCATGGCCGTTGCAATCTGGGACATCCTCGGCGCTCTGGAGGGCTCTGAAACGAAAAGCAAGACAGGGGATCTCAGGCTGAATAATGCTGCAATCCAGGTAGAGGGCTGGCAAGTCCCCATCCTGCTACCTGCCTCTCACAGCTCCCATGAGGGTCGAGCCTCATTACACTCTGAGTAACCAGAGTTAAGTTGCTATATCCCTTTGATGGTGTGGAAAGGACTATGCATCCCACAGCAAGCATCATGTGCCTCACTTTAAGCTACAGGATCTCAGGAGTAACAGAGAAGCTCGGCCCCGTTGCTCCACCCAGAATGACCCACTTCACCAGAGCAGTGGGCACAGAAACAAGGAGGTCCTATCTAAATCACAGCCAAAGCATGCTGCCGAGTCTCTGCCCTGTGAAAATGATGTCTATGAGTATGAAATCAGGACTCTTTTGAGCTGGGAAGAAGCCCCCAAAAAAACCAAGGAAGCCAGAAACAAGTTGCTTCAGGGAGAGGCAGAGGGATGAATGCACCGGGTTGGCAGGGGATGGGGTTCGGTAGCTTCTACTGCAGCAGAGACGGACAAAACAGGATGCCATTCATTGATGCCTAGTGCTTATCATACTTCCACCCCTGGTAAAAGCACAAGCACTTTAAAATGAAGACACAACTAGAAATGAAAGACTAGAAGAGGCCGTGAGACCTAGTCCACTTCCTCCAGTTAGTTTACTGCCCTTGGGACCCAAATAAGCCATGCTACCTGTGCTTACAGAGCCTATTTCCCAATGGATCAGATCCCCTAATACAGCGATTGCCCCGCAGCAGATACAGGTT